TCCTGCTTTTGCTGGGAGCTCCTGAGAATAGCAGCAAGCAGCTCCAGGACCTTCGGGCAGGCCTGCGCCTGGTGATTACCATGGTGGGCTGGAGCTTTTGTTTTGTGACCTTGGTTGCTACAATACCTGGGAGCTGAAATGAGGAATCAAAAAATTGCCAGCTTCAATTAGACCGGCAGACTGCTTTTTCAAGGCTGCCTCAGCCCCTCTATCCATTAACGGTAAACATACGCCAAATAGGCCCTAATTCTCTCTAATTGCCCACTCCTGAAGTAAAGAGGTGAAATTCCAGGAAGAGGCATATGTAAACATCCTCTGTAACCCAACCGACTGAAATTAGAGGGCTGGTGGGGGCCCGGGGCCCGAGAGGGACATGGTTTCAAAAGATGTCCCAGTTACCTCTCCCATTTTCATAAATGGGCCTGTAATGTCCAGGGCCCGGGCCTCACAAAGGTACAGGAAATCAGCTCAGTGGAGCCCTTGTCCTTGTGAGGGGAAGTTCTGAGAGGACAGTATTTACTCAACAGGTAGGGAGTATGAGATCGGAGGCAAGGCTGATTATTTGTGTAACTACCAGCTCTATTTCTTGAAGTAAACATTTTAATAAAAATACTCCTTTGACGTTTTTCTCTGCTTGAAACATCCATGTGATATTTGTACCAAAGACATACCGGATCAATCAGGTCTTGTTTACTTCCGGAAGAGAGTAACTTTGCAAATCTCCCCACGCAGGGCTAGAATGTTCTCATCCTGCGAAGCCCTGGGGGCTGAGCTTGGTGTGTCTACAACACTTTCTGCGTGGGTCATGAGCTCAGTGCGCGCATTATGAGGTCTTCTGATCGAATGCTTGTGACAGTTGTTCCTCTGGACTCTATACGGAGGCCTTGTGTTTTCCTTTAGTTCCAGACAGTGACTCATCTCTGCAGCTTTTCTGACATTTGTTAAGATTCCAGCCCCGCACTGTGTGATGAATGCATCAGGGCAGACCTGGAGCTGCTACACACAGCTTTCAAACCGAAGCACGACTTAGGTGGGGCTGTGTCCCAGCAGAGCAGCCCGGGGTCTGCATGCAGAGTTAATTAAGGCCCGCAAGGATCCGTGGAGGGGGGGTACCTGGAGCAGAGGCAAAAAAACCCCAGATACCCTGAGCTGCTTCTGATTTCTGTGTTCCTATTGCAAATGAAATAGACCCAAACAGAAGCAACAAACCAAAGGGCCTTCTCTTCCTGCAGGAAACGGCAGGGCTTCGCTCTTGCTGTGTGTCCCTGGTCTGGAGGGCCGTTGTCACCATAGGGTCAGGGCTGTGGTCACCCCAGCTGTGCAGGGGCTTCTGAGGTGGGCCAGGACCATGCAGTCCTGATGGTATTCAGAGCATCGGTGGTGGTCCTGAGCCTTCAGAGAGGCAGAGCTGCCCCAGGGTGCCCTGGGAGCTGGCTCCCGCGTTGTTGACCCTCTTTCTCGAGATTTCTTATTATTTTGTGTTTATTGCATTGATCTGTGGCAGGAAAGTGTGCTTAGGGAGGCGCTAGGCCAAGGAAAAGAGCTTGTGGGAGGATTTGGGAGCAAGAGATGTCCCACCTGTGCCCTGGTAGGCTTTTGGATGTCCTAGCCAGAGACCAGCCTGGGAGTGCAGAGCGAAAGATGACCACTGGGTCCCTAGTGGCCGAAGTCAGGGCGGTGTGCAGAGTTGGAGGGCATTTCTTCCGCCCGGGTCACTGGAGGGCCCTCAGGATGGCCTCTGGATGAGCCTGTGTGGCCAGGTGTCCCAGGACCTGTGTTCTGAGTCGGCACAGCTCACTGTCATCTTCTGGCCCCTCATTTCCTTTCTCAGGTGCCCTCAGGGCCCTCCCCGCTGGTCTCCAGACCTCCTGTCTCTACCTGTGTCTCAGGAGAGCAGTCTCCAAACAGGCGCTGGTCCTCTCCTCCGCCAGCACACCGGTCCCTCTCTTCTCCCAACATCACAGGTCCTCCTTTCTTTTGTCAATTTAATTTTTATTATTATTATTATTTTTGTAAATGCGTTTTTGAGACAGGGTCTCACTATGCAGTTCCGGCTGGCCTTGAGCTCACTTTATAGCCCAGGCTGGCCTCGAACTCACGGCGATCCTTCTGCCTCCGCCTCCTGAGTGCTGGGACTACAGGGGTGCACCACCACGCCCGTTTTTTTTTTTGTTTTGTTTTTAATTTTTTAAAATTTTGTCTCTTTGAGACAGGGTCTCGATATGCAGTTCAGGCTGGCCTTGAACTCACTTTGTAGCCCAGGCTGGCCTCGAACTTGCAACGATTCTCCTGCCTCAGCCTCCCTAGTGCTGGGATTACAGGCATGCACCACCACTCCCAGCTCCCGGCTTATTTTTATTATTTAATTTTTTTTTCGGGGCTGGGGATATAGCTCAGTGGCACAAGCACCTGCCTGGCAAGTGCAAGGTCCTGAGTTTGATTCCCGGTACCAAAAAAATTTTTTTTCAGCACTGGGTGTGGCAGTACACAGCTGCAATCCTAGTCCTTGGGAGGCTGAGGCAGAAAGATTGGCATAAATTTGAGACCAGCCTAGGTTACAGAGTGAGACACTGCCTCAAAAAACCCAAAAACACCCTTTGATACATGCATATATTTTGACCCTATCCATCCTCCGTTACACTCTTCCTTACGCCTCCCTTACCCCCACCTTTATTCCTTCCTCTGATCTAATAATAATCTCCCTTTTACTTTCATGTCGTTCTAAAAGTTTCCGTACATGAGGGGAAACGTAGAACTTGTCCTTCTGAGCCTGGCTTGCTTTGTTTGCTTAGTACGGTGATGTTCCGTTCCATCCCTTTTGCCGCTAGTGACTGTTTTGTTCTTTATTTATGACTGAATAGTACTCCATGGTGTGTATTTACATCTTCTTTATCCATCTATCTATGGATGGGCACCTAGGTTGCATCTAGGCCTTTGCTGTTGTGAATTGTGCCATAATAAACATGGGGGTGCGGGACTCCCCGGAGCAGGCTGACTTCAGTGTTTCTGGTATATACTGTATCAAGGAGGGGTCTAGCAGAGTTGAGCAGCAGTTCTGTTTTTATTTTTTTTGAGAAACGTCAATACTGGTTTCCATGAGGGTTGCACTAATTTGCATTCCACCAGCGTGGCAAAGGGGTCCTTTCTCCCCTGGCCCTGGCCAGGATTGATTGTTTCTTGTAGTTTTTTTTTTGTGTGTGTGTGTGTGTGTGTGTTTTTGAGACAGGGTCTCGCTATGCAGTTCAGGCTGGCCTTGAGCTCACTTTGTAGCCCAGGCTGGCCTCGAACTTGCAACATCCTCCTGCCTCAGCCTCCCAAGTGCTGTGGTTATGGGCGTGCGCCCGGCTTGTTTTTTGTAGTTTTGATGGTCACCATTCTGGCCAAGGTGAGATGGAATCTCAGTGCAGTTGTGATTTGCATTTCCCCGATGGAGAAAGATATTGAACATTTTTTCACACATGTCTTGGCCATTTGTACTTCTTTTTTGAGAAGTGACAGATCTTCCTGGGTTCCACTCACCTCTTTAGCTTTGCCAGACTCTAGTAATAATAGCTTTTGCTTTTTTTATTTTTAGTTCAATTTTTGCATTGATGTTTGTAAATTGCTTATGGTGGGTAACCACAAGCACGGAGAACTCCTTAGGAAATGACTACTTTTCAGAGATGCCTTCTATGTGTATGTTGCTGGCTTTTGGCTGTTGAGTCTGTTGCAAGATCATACCTTTTCAATTTACTGGAGATGTGGCTTGTGTTAGTGTTCATGATCTTCATGCAATCTTGGTCTTGGCATAGATAGAAGAACTGATTTTTTTTGTACTGGGACTCAGGACCTTGTGGTGCTTGCCAGGCAGGCGCTGTGCTACTGAGCTATATCCCCAACCCAGAACAACTTATTATAACAACCATGTCACCTTTGCTAAAGTGGTGCAATCAGTAACAATAGCAATGAGCCAGGTGTGGTGGCATGCCCCTGTAATCCCAGTGCTCGGGAGGATGAGGCAAGAGGGTCGCCATGAGTTCAAGGCCAGCCTGCGCTGCATAGTGAGTTTAAGGTCAGTCTGGACTACATGGTGAAATCCTGTCTCCACCCTGCACCCCCAGTTGAATGGCCTTTTTCCTTCTAAGTACTTTGCAGTTTAAGAAAAATTTAGGAGAGAATACAGAGCCTTCCCATATGCCTACCCCTGCCCCTGCCGGGTCCCAGCGGCAGGACACCTTGCGTTCATGGGGAATGCTGCTGTCACCGATGAGATGGCCTCAGGACGTGCTTCCTGCGCAGTCTGTGTCGGGGCTGACATCGTCAGGGCTTCCTGCGTTGCGCCTTTTGTGGGGTTCACACTCACCTGGCCGATCTTGTTCTTTTACACCAAAGTGTGAGGCAGAGGCCCGGTGTCAAAGACTTGCCGGAACTGGTCATGGTACCTCCTGGTGCCTTTTCGAAAGGGCACTTTACAGGTTGGAGACACCTGTGTCTCATGATGCATGCGCCGCAGTGTAGCCCTCACTGCCCGGTCGAAACCACAAGCCGGCACTGCCCCAGCCCAGTCCCGCTGGCCGCAGTCTGCTTCTCTGCTCTCCCCCGGGCCCACCGCCCACCGTGTCACCCGCCGGGCCTTGCTGGGCTCTTGGCTGTTCCAGAGCGCCGCGAATGCCCTGCCTTGGAGGTGACGGCCTCCAGGGAGCGGATCACAGCCCCAGGTGTCCGCTTGGTCCTCACCTGCATGTGCAGCCCCTAACCTTTAGCTTTCACGGAGTGGCGGCCTTGGATCCGCAGGTGGCACCGACACTCAGAGCCTGGGGTTGGGAGCCTGTCCCTGTGCTGCTGCCGCCTGCGTCGGCCCCATGGTCAGGGCTGAAGGGAAGTGCTTAGCACCCCAGACTCTGTACCTCTTGGAAGCTGGGGAGTCGTTGCTTTGGGCCCCCTGTGCCCTCTGCAGAGTGGTCACCTTAACCCACGGCCTCTTCCTCCTCACCCGGCCGGCTGGGGTCCTGTTTCGTGATCTCCTGCTCTTTCCTTCCAGCTGAAGCTCTCACCTGGAATCCTGCGTGGGACAGGACCACGGACACCCTGGCTCGGCACCCCAGTGCCCCCCAGCTCTGAATCGTAAGTTGTCAGAGTATAGGGAGCACACTGTGTCTGGCAAAGGGAGCCGTCACCCTCACCCCGGCACGCACGCTGCCAGGCGGGGAGGGGCGTGGGTGCCCAGCGAGCCAGGCGGGGTCAAGCTGGGGCTCACGCTCTGAGAGGACAGCCCCAGGCTCCCGCGCTGTTGTCTCTGTGGCCAGAGAATTCTATAGGCAGCTTGAGTGTGGGACCCCGAAAGAATGTCTTTTTCACTCTCCTCAGTGAATAGCTCTTTGATCAATGCGTCTCCCCCTGGCTCTCGTGCCGCAGGGCAGACGAGGATGCGAGGACCTGGGCTTCGGGCTCCGTGACCTGCGCTCACTCACCCCCTCGAAATGTCTGGAAAACATAATGGGCAGGTTTTCTGTCTTCAAAGTTTCCGGCGAAAGCTCTTCAAGTTCTGTTTTGTTTGGGACTGGGACACTCAGGGATGGTAATGGGGAGCGCCTTTTGTATTTGCCTTGAAAGGCCAAAATATTTCTATATTGCTCTAGACAAAGCCACCTATTTACAAACGAACTTTGTGTGCGTCGTTTCCCACTGGGGAAGGCTATGTACCATGCGTGTCTATGTATTCTGGGGTCTTGAAATGGGCTTCTCATGGGGATGGCCATTCACCGGGGTCCAGGGAGCAGAGCAACAAACTGCTGTCTCGCCAAGGGGCCTGGGGGTGGGGCCCTTGGTCTCTGGTCCAGCCCAGGCTGTCCGGGATGGGAGCTGGGAGGACCTGTGAGTAAAGGAAGCTTTACTGTGTCTCTGCCTCTGCCATGTGTGTGTTCCTGGGCTGCGGGTCTGTGCACCTTGGTAGCAAGCTCGGTGGGAGGAAGCAGGAAGGTCTAGGAGGTTGTGAGCGCTGTGATTTTCTTGTTGGCAGGTGGATTCCCTGGTATTGATGACATTTTGTAGTAAATGATTAGGTGAATGAATGAGTGAACCAGGAAGGAACGGGGAAACACATAAACAGAGCCAGAAGTTAACAGGTCAGGGGGAGGGTGCATGTTGATCGCGCATCCATTCTGATGCACAGATGATCAGCTGATAGATCAGTAAGGTATTTAGTCGGGAAGTGCATAAGGCCGTGTACAAACTGGTGCAGGCCACCGTGGGTGAGGGAATGAGTATCATTCTTGTCAGGAAGAGATTAAAGCCCAAATTTTAAGAAAGAGATTGAGACATGGAGATACATAAACCAAGGCTGACTTTTTTTTGAAGCATTGGGGATTGAACTCAGGGCCTTACACACAATAGGTCTACTACTGATCTACACCTCTAGCCCCCCGTTTAGACGTTGTGAGCCCCCTTAGAGTAAAAGGCAAAATAAAGCAAGGCAGGGGGAATAAGAGGTCAAAGAGAGCAGGAAGAGGAAGAGAAGCGAGAACAAATACAGGGAGAAAGATGCTAGGGGACGCGTAACTGTAAGGCTAACCAGATCAGGTAAGGCAGACACGAATACTGCCTCAACTGCTTTTGCTCCTGGCATAGGAAAACAGAGGAAAAGTTCAAAGGAGAAGGAAAGAAGGAAGTGGACGCAGTGGGCTAAAAATGAGAGTGCACTTTAACCAAAAGTTACCTGAGTCAGGCACCCGATGTTCTCACATAAATAAGAGCCAGAGTGAAAAGGAGGACAGGGGGAAAAGTCTGGGCGGATAAATGAGAAAGCAGGGAGAATGCGTGTGTCCAGGAGCCGGGTGACAGGTGGCCCGAGGGGCCCTGAACTGCTCCGTCCTGGGAACTGAGATCTTTTAGATGAAAGGAGCTGGAAGAAGGAGAAAAAGTGGACTAGAATAGGGTTGAAATGAGGAAATAAGAATAAAAGGTAGTGAGTGTTAAGTGCAGAATTACATTCACGGGTGAATAAATAAAGACGCGGAGGGTAGCGGGGAGGCAGTGGGGAGACCCTCATGCGTCCTGGCTGGTGGTGCGTTCACTTCTTAAAGCCCCGGCACTGTGGATAAAATAATAAATAAAGGAACAAGCCAGGGAGCATCTAAGGAAACAAAGAGAGGAGGCAGCGAGGAGCGGGTCCCGGAGAGGGCGGCGGTGTTGTAATGAGTCCCATCTGTGCACCCGGCTCCAGGAAAATGAGACCAGGGAGGCAGAGGCAGGAGTTACGGAGAGCTGTAATGAGAGAAAGGAACAGTTAAAGGTAACTAGCTGCTAGAGGGAGACATGGACAGACCTGTGACGGAGGGCTGAGCTAGGCTAGGAGCCAGAGTGTGGGGACCTACTAAGTGCTTACCGAAAGGAAAAAAACAGGAAGGAAGGAAGGACGATGCCCATGAACGAAGGGATTAGTGGGTGACAGGAGCCGCACGGGGCAAAGAGGGGTGTCTGCAGGTGGACTGTTGAGGCGTCTGTCCATGGTAGCTGTGGGCCAAAGAATGAAAGAATGCCCAGAGGACTGAGAAGGAGATACAGTGAAAAAAGGAAAGCAGCATAAAACTAGCTAAAAGATAAGAAAGGCAATATATCAACCATACATAGATGGATGCGGATGTAAGGGAGAGCCACGCCAGGAGAAGTGGTGTGGTTAATTCACACCTGCGCTCCTGGGCTGGACGCAACCACCCAGGAAGTGGCTGTGAGCATGGACGCGTCAGGGAGGAGTCCGTGGGGCGGGGGGCCTTGGCTGCAGACCACGATGTGTCCAATTAGGTGCACCTGCTGTCTGGAAGGGTGGAAATAAGTATTTAAATAGAAAAAAAAGTCGGAATGGATGCATGAATGCATGAATGAATGAATGAGATAAAGATTTGCATTCATCAGTGAGGGTGGTGGTGGGGGGCAGGCGAGGGTCCCCTGAGCCTGGGTGCTGGTGTGCAGAAGAAAAGGGGAAGACAGTGATAGAGGAACAATAAGATGGGAAGAAATGGGAATGGGAAAGAAAAGAAGAGGCAGAGATAGTAAGTGGAACAATGAGGCCTATGAGGAGGAGGCTCGCTAGTGCAACTCATCCATATTCATCCGGAATCGGGGCCCAGGGTTAGGGTGCAGCTCAGCAGTGCAGCCCTCGCCTAGCGTGTGTGAGGCCCTGGCTTCCCCCCAGCCCTGCAGAGCAAAAACAAACAAACAAACAATCCTGCGGCCCTGAAGGCTATAAATAATAATAGAAATCGGTGTAAGTAAGAGTCTCAGCGTATGCACTCCAGAAGGGTGCAAGGAAAGGAGCTGGACAAATGCAAGGAAGGACGGAAGGAAACATGTAGAAGAAAAATGAAAGTAGACAGGGGAGAATAAAAAGCACTTCCTGGAAAAGTATTTAGATATAATGAGTTGATATTATTTATTAAATGCAATAAATAGTAATGGTGGAGTTTCAGTAAAAGAACAAATAGCACAAGGAAAGAGTAAACTAGGGAGTGACCATAAAAGAATGAGGAATGACATTTTTAATTTTCATTCTCTTCTGCACCCACGTCTCATCAGAATAGAAGAACGCAGAAGAAAGAGCTAGGACTAGAGGGGAAGGGATATAGAAAATTGTGACAAGATGGGTATGAGCAATAAAAACATACTGAATGCGTAAGTACACCCATGAATATGTGTGAGAGAGGGCCGTACAGGGAGAGAAAACGGGAAGGGAGCAGAAATTATGACTAATTCAAAACTGGGCTGCTGAGATAGTTAAATAAATCCTAGACCCAAGCAGCGGTAGGAGAAATTAAGAAACAAAGACGAGCCCCGTGCGGGCCAGGGTTGCGATGGCTCTGGGAACCTCAGATTACGGTTAATCCCATTCTGTGCACCTGAGGTCCATAAAGAACAGAAGAAATATTGACATAAAAGAGTGGCAGAGAGACTGGGAAAGTGAAAGACTGAATTAGAAATGGAAATGGCGGGGTGGCCAGGGCGGAGGGCCCGTGGGAGCCCCCCGTCTCGTTCTGGGCGGCCGAGGTCCCAGGGAGTGAGGAGATACGGAGAAGAAAGGCAAAGCGGGAAAGCGGAGGGAGTGGGAAAGAGAAGGGGGAGCAGCAAGGGGGAGTCCGTGCCCGCGAGGGTGTGTCAGCGGAGGAGGGTGTCTTAGGATTAGTAATGAGGTTGTCTCGAATCCTAAAGATAGATCAGATCATCCAGACCCGGGTGCCTAGGGGGAGGGAGAGAGGAGTGGAACAGAGAAAAACCACACACAAGGAAAGCTAACAGACTCCTCACCAAAGCGATCCACGGAAAAGTAAGAGAGGTTGTCTGAACAGGGATTATAATGAGTTTGCATACATCCTCCTTCAGTAGATAAACGCACTACATCTTACAGAGGAGAAATGAGGCACAGAAGCACCCCGAGCCCCAATACATGGCTGCATTGCATCCTGCACTGCCGTAACACTATGTACAGTTAGTCCGTCCATGAAAGAGTAAACGCAGAGAGGTTCCTTGGGGCAGGCCGGCGGGGAGTCAGCAGACAGATCTGCCCGGGCCTGGGGAGCTGGCCTTGCACACGGGGTTCAGACTACTGCAGCTATGTTCCCAGGAGAGAGCGGGTGAGACACGCCAAAAGGAGAGCCAGGAAGCACCGGCGAGTGTGTGAGCGAGTTGGTGACTGAGGAGCGGCAGAAAGTGGGGCTTTGGTGCGGGGCAGGAAGGAGGGTGTCAGGTCCAGCTGGGTTCCTACAGTTCTGGGTGCCTGAGTTTGTAAAAACGACAAAAAGTGAGGGGTGTGAGGAAGGGAGAAAGGCACGGCTTGGGAGGAAGGGTTAAAAACGACAGGGGTAAGGAGCAGGCTTAGGGTTAGCTTCAGCTGGGCTGTGATGAGTGTAGCAGAGGCGTCATCAGTGACAGGAGGAGGGCGCTAGGAAGGGCGCTAGGAATGTAGAAGGAGAAGAAGGGTGAGAACCTCCTGCTGTGTGGGCCATTTCACTGCTGCCTGTCCCCCCGTCTCCTACCTGTACAGACCCCAGCTGCCTGCCTGGGTTGACCCTGGGAGAAGCGCTCGCCCCTGCCCGTGACAATGCCCCGCCCATTTGCAGTTTCCGCCCGGATGGGCCCTGCGGCAGTTGCCTGAACAAGGGGTGTTGAGCCCAGTGGGCGTCTTGGCCCCCTCCCTGGGCAAGGGTTAGCCAGGCGAGCACCTGTGAGGGGGGCCTTGCCCGCCAGAGGCAGCAGAGTGTTGGGGGGCGGGCAGGAGGCCCCCGTGCTTAGGCCCCGCTCAGTGCCTAGCGAGCGCCCTCCTGGGTGAGGCTTTGGTCCTCTCCAGGGGCTGGTGCACGGGAGAGGGGACGGTGGCCAGGAGCACCTTAGAAGAGTGACCCAGGAGCACAGGGACCCAGCAGCCCTGGGAAAAGCACCAGGAAGCTTGTTCTGGCAACTCTGCCGGTGCCCAGGTGGGGCACCGTGCTTCTCAATTTGGGGGCCCGAGGGAGGGTCCACCTGAGCCCAGCTGACTTACCAACACGGCCCCGGGAACCTGGCCCCCCAGACGTGGCATCCCCTGAGCCCGTTTCAAGGCCTGTCTCTCTGTGCGCCGCTGTACTCTGTATCGGGTGGAAAGTGTATCACACCGCGTCACTCGGAGCTATTTTCTCGGGCCAGTCCTCTCGGGGCTGCTTGAGGACACCCAGAGAGTCGTTTGTTATGACGTCCCTTCCCCCGGGGGCCCCTGCCTCTGTCTGGCTTCCTTTCTCTGTACCGGAGGAGATCTTCACAGGGTGTGTCGTGTGCCTGTTTTGTCTGCACAAACAAGGACCGCTGTCCCTCTTGACATCCCAGTTCCCATTTGGAATATTAAAAAAGAACTGAGATTCTTAGTGAGTGGCCAGACGCGAGGAGCACACTTGGGGGCCCAGGAGCATGCGCAGACCGGGGTGGGGCGCAGGCAGAGCTCCTGCGCAGGGCAGGGCAGGGCAGGGCGTGGCCAGGCCAGGCCAGGCCAGGCCAGGGTAGCTGGGGTTGCTCTAGTCCAACTGCTGAGGGGCTGCACTTAGGGCAGGGAAGTGGGCACCAGGCTGAAGCTGCAGGTTTGTAGCTGCAAAGCGGGGAGAGGAGGATCAGGTGCATGCCGCACTTGTAAGACAGGCCCTGAGTGGATGGCAACGGCCTTCAGAACGTGGGAGACATGGAATTCACGTGTCAGAAGCCACCTTCTGTGCCCCCAGCACCACGTGTCTGGGCCATGTGAGCTGGGCCACATGGGCCTGACGTGGAGCTAGGGCCACAGAGGTCTGCTGGCTGCCTCTGTCAGAACCTGGGGCTCTGGGCTCTGCCGCAGCACGGTCATCCGTGGGACACCTGCTGGCCGGAAGATTCTCCAGACAAGTTCAAGTGCCTCTGCAGGGAGGAGGGGCCTAGGGCTCAGGACAGAGGGACTGGGAGGCCCTCGGGGAGGAAGGGGGCCGGTGTTTAAGAAGTCACTGGAGCTCTGGGGATGGCAGGGGGAGCATGGGGTGAGCTGGGCTCCAGAAGAGCCCGTACCCAACGTCCATCGAGAGGCTGCTCCAAGCAGCCGCCGCAGGTTGACCTGGGCAAGGGGAAGGCACCTCAGAAGAGTCACCGAGACCTGGAGGGCGGGTGTACTGGGGGTGTACTGGGGATGCATGACTGATCTGTCCTACTGGGAATGTCCAGACCAGGAGGGGGCAGCCGGGACCTGTGGGCCTCTGCCTGTTCAGAAGCTCCGCTCTGGGATACTAAGGGCCTCTTTCGGGACGTGAGGGTCAGGACCGCGGCGGATAGGCGGGGAGGGGACGAGCTGCGCATGCGCCTGGGTTGGACCCAGCCCTCCCGACGACCGGGCCCATCTCAGATGTGCCTTTCTTTTCTATCAACTTGATAAAGTGAGACAGTTTTGTCTTTTGATGGACGGCCAAGTGCGCCACACACAAATGCCTTTCCTGGCGATGCCAAGAGCACGGCTTTCCTTGGTCTCCCCTGTGACTCCCAGCCCCCTCCTTGGGGCACATGGGCCACGGCCCCCCGGTGCCTCTCACGGAAAGGTGCCCAGTGACACCCAGCTCAGCCCCCTACATGCCACCACCTCCCGGCCCTTCAGGTTCTTATCTTATGGCACTTTTCTGCTTTTCTTTAGATAACGTCTATGTTGTTTCCGAGCTGTTTTTTTTTTTTTTTATACCTAGTTGCCTTTGTTCACCCCATACACTTTTTTGCATTCCTATCTTTTCCACTTAATATTCTGCTTGCAACAGTTTCCTTTGCTCCGTAGCTTTTATAACCTCCCTGCGCTGGGTTCTGGTGAATGGCGGCATTCGCAAACCCATCCCGCTAGTTCTGGCAGAAGCCATCTCCTTTTGTGTAGTACAGAGGGTGTCACCACTAACGGCTTTGCACACCCCAGTTGTTTTCCCCATTTTTGCGCAGTGCATTGTCGCACCCAGAAATTGATGCTTCCTTCCACACCAGTTTCTCCTGCTAGACTGTGAGCCCCCAAAGGGCAGGGACGTCAAATGCGTCTTTGTCTCTCGGCTGCCTGACCTGCGATGGGCTGTCAATCCTTGTCTGCTGCAGGAGTGGGTGGGAGGGTGGTGGAGGCGTGAATGGTCAGCTGGGAGACAGGAGAACGGAGGGGTAAACGGCTTGGTGCGCGAGGGAAAGAATGAATGAACTTTTGGGGTTGAGCCTCCTGTATGAAAAGCCAGGGATTCTGGTATGGATGTTGGTTCACTCCAGAAGCTTGTTTGGTGCCTGCAGTGTATTGACAATTTTTGAGGTATCTGTTTGTTTTTCTGGGTTAAAAATCGCTTTTGCATCATTTTAACTTGCTCCGATTACTGATGAAGGTTGAACATTTTCCACCTGTGTTTGTTAACAAATTGTATCTTACCTCTTGTTGTGAACTGTTTGTCCAAGTCAGCCGGGTCATGGCTTTCCACAGAAGCTGGTCGAGGGCGTCCTTAGCGTGCGGTGAGCTTCCTCCTCCCTGAGGCATCTGAGGAGCTGGCCAGCAGCTGCTGGGGCCGGGGAGCTTTAGGGAGATTCAGAGAATGTGTGAGGTTGTCCTAGCTGGCTTTCAAGTCTGTTGGGCTTTACCATTCACTTACCCCTGGGTGATGGGGACAGGGAGAGCTCACTCTGGCTGGCAGGGAGGGGACAGTTAAGACTGCGTCCCTTGGTGTGTTTGTGCCCTTAGGATACGTAAACCCCAATGTCCACTGTTGCTTTTGACTCAGAAATATCTCTTTGCTGCCCCTGCCCCAAGATCCAGAAAGTCACACCCATCACCTGCAGTCTTGTCACCAACTTCCCTAGTGCTCGAGGGTGCCGGGCCCTGGGGCCACCACGTCCCACTTCTCAGGGGAGTTGGCTTCCACTACCCCGTGATGTGTGAGCCAGCGCCCCTAAGTCTTGGCCTCCATGACGGTCGCTGAAGTTTCAGTGATGAGGGGCACATTGTGGGTGAGCATTTCAGTCTTTCTTTATGAGTGCAGTTCATAATCTGAGGAGGCCTAGGGCTCTCCTCAGCCCCACCCCCAAGCAGGCTAGAACTCCAGGGTCCTTGTTGCCGCAGGGGAGGGGGCGCTGAGCAAGGAAGGCTTACCTTGCCTTTGAACCCTCTCCTCTGTTGACGGAGGGCTGCTTCTTCCTGCCGACCCTCTACTATAGCACTGAGCACAGAGTGGCCGTCCCAGAACCCCCCACCCCACGCTTATCTCAGCTGTGAAGCCCGGAGCCCACCTGGGACTTTCAACATGACCTCTGTCTGTCCATTCATTTGTTCCCACATCTGATCTCCATTTCTTGACCTGGTGCTTGTGGCCTTTACCTTTCCTGAAAGCAAACTTCTCCTTCCGGGAGGGCTGTGAGGTGTCATAGGCTGTGGTCAAGAAGACTATACCTCTCTTCATAGCTTCTGCCTCTGGGTCACTGCTCTGAGCACGCCCCAGCGGGGTCTCATCCTCCACTGTCACCCCCATGGCTTTTTCTCCATGGTGCTTCTCCACAGAGCACACACCATGACTGTCATCCAGGCACAAGGTCTGAGAGTGGCTGGGGTGGAGCTCTCCGGCCCTCCCGGGGAGGTGTCCTCCCCGGCTGAACCTTGGCTGGGCGTGGTCCCCTCCACCAGCTTTACCCTCAGCCTTGCTAATTCCTCCACCAGACACAGTGACTGTCACCCACCTATCCACTCCTTCATCCCTCCACTCATTCTCTTCCAGTCAACAAACATCTGAAAACTCGAGTCAGTGCTATAGTAGAGCCGGCCCCCAAGGCCTCCTCCCGACATTGCTCTTTGCAAGCAGAGATGACCCTGTTTGTAAAGGGGCCGTGTTTGTGTGACTGAAACCAAGCGAGATCCTTGATTTAGCTCAGACCTCTAGATTAGAGTTCCACTGCAAGTTTGATTGCGCTCTCCAAGTTCCTTCCTTACAAAAGTAGGTTGATTAGTAATCAGCAAACTCTGTTCCCTGGGTGCTGGGAAGTATAGCCCATACCCTCAAGAGGCTGGGTGGAGAGCTTGGGCTCTGAGATCAGCAGACTTTCAAAGGACCAGGACACCTTGATCTTAATGGAGGTGGCCTGAGGGTCATTCCTGCAACTTTAAAGATTAGCTATGATGGGCTCTTTTTAGAGCAAATTGCAAGCTATGATTGCCCATGTAGGTGACAGGGATGACACCCCAGGCAGGCGTCCTCGCAGAGCAATCAATTGGCAGACCTGGTGTCCGAGGCATGGGGGCCTGGCAAGCCTTGGGTGCAGCCCCCAGGGTTTGTGGGGGTTCCAGGCCCCATGAGACCTTCAGTTCGCTGCTGCCCGGTAGAAAGAGGCCTAGGTCTTAGGGGCTATGCTAGAATTCAGTGGTGAAGCCAGGACCCCAGATCTGGACAAACTGTGCGATTTACCCTTACTGTGAAAGTCTAAGCTTGTCTTGGTGGGGGGTGGGGGCGGGGGGCGCCCACCTCGCAGGGCTGTTGCGAGGACGCTGGAAGGTGGTGTGCGTGTCCCTGGGGTCCTGCCGGAGGGTCAGGCTACGAGGCTAAAAGGGGTCACCTGTCTCTGGCAAACTTAGTGGGAAGTCATTTTTTCTGAATATGCGGGGTATATTGTTGGGTACGATGCTACATTTTTATGGCATTATAGGAAGAAATAGGAATCATTTCGGCAGGAACTTTCAGGACCGGGGTTGGGCATGCCCCTGGCCCCCCCAGGGCACACGTCCACACCCACCTCTGTGAAAGGTTGGAAGTGTGCAGAGCTGTGCCACTGGCTGGCCTGTGGGCAGCACCCACCCGTGCCCCGCTCCAGAAGTCCCCCCCCCGTGGTATATTAGGCACCAGCTGTCCAAGACAGCCCTACATTGTCCCCTTCCAGTGTCCCTTCTTCCCTGACCTCGTTTGCGTGCCGCACAGCGCCAGGCCAGTGGCAGGGCCTCACCTTCCTCCCCGTCCCTGTGCGGGGGGCCGCTGATCATGCTGTAACCAATGCCAAGTGGCCACTGTTTCTAGCCACTACCGAGAAATTGTGCTCTGTTCCCACTTACCCTGTCAGCCACTGCTGCGCTGTGTTGAACGCCTTGTGCTGTGCTGGTGGAAAACCAGGCTTCTGGCAGGAGCCTGTGTTTGGTATTGTAAGGAGCCCATGCTTTGGCACCTGGCAGACTGGGGGTCGCTTGACTCGGCGCAGTCCTGGGCCAGTCACTGTGCCTCTCTGACCCTCAGGGGTGTGTGTCCCTAGACAGCGTACTCACAGGGTGATTGGGAGGGCCAAGGGCTGGGCCCCTGTGGCTGTGACAGTGCTTGTGCCGGTTTCATATCGGGAGGGTCGTGCACGGGTTGTGTATGTGTTTTTTGGGAAAGCACTGGTGATACCTTTAGTAGCTGGAAGCGAATAAAAAGCATCGCCCTTATGCTAAGGTTATATTTCCAGCAGCCGATGGGATGTGTGGGACACACGCCCGAGCAGGCTGCACGTTCTTGGAGGTGGGGGCCCAGGGTCAATGTCTGTGCAGTGGTGGGTGGCGGCTTTCTCCCTGCTCGGGGTCTCTGCTACCTCCTCGCCCTTCCCCTTCTTCCTGGGCTGCTGCTTCCTGAGCCGGTTGGGCCACTCGCTTTGGGGACCTCGGTTGGCGGGGGGAGGGCATCGTCTGCTGGGAGGTGCCTTGCGAATGTGGGTGTGAGCCCCTGGGTTGCTCGGTGAGGGAGGGACAATAGGGGGTGACTCAGAGGGTGGGGAGCTTGAGGTAGCATCTTTAGGAGGGTGAGACCTCACACCCTTTTCCCCCTTTTCCCTGGCCAGCCACCAAGTGCAGGGCTCTGACTCGCTTTCTGACACCTACTGTCCTTGCGGTGTAGGCCCATTTGATTGACGGACAAACCTAGAACCAGGGACACTGGGTGTCAAGGCCAGGATGTCACAGCCTTGCATACATAGATGGTCTGACTCCCCCAACCCCCTCCTCCTTTCCTCAAGTGTGCCCATCCCCCTGGGTGCCTGGCAGTGCCCTGGAGAGGAATGCAGGGACGTAAGCAGGCCACCGCTCTCCAGGGATCTGGTCAGACGTGGACACGGGGCTCCAACCCTCACAAGGGTCTCAGTCACTTCTTTTTTTTATCAGCAAATATTTACCATACGTAATGATCACGTTCATCATAGGGGATTTGTACCTGTACATATTTCTTAATTTTTTCCCCATGCCCCCCAACCTTTCTTCCTGTCTCCATTTATAGAGTTTTGGTTCCATTTTTTTTCCTTCTGTTCTTTTTTTCCATTCTCTATTCTAAAATCTCTTTTCCCCTCCTTTCCTCCCCCTCCCCTCCCTTATTCCCCTCCCCATTTGGCCGTGTTCTTCCTACTTCCCATTATCTGTCTTCCGTTCTGCTCTTTACCTACCCTGTGTGTTTCTCACACAAGAGAAACAAAGTGATGGTTAAACTTGTGTGTCTGATTTATTTCACTTACAATTATGGTCTCGACGTTCATCCATTTATGTGACATCTAGAATATAGAAAGAACTCAAAAAATTAGACTCCTCAAATTTAATGACCAATCCAAAAACGGGCATCTGAAATGAATTTCTCAGATGAAGAAGTAGAAATGGTAAATAAATAGAGTCCACCAAAAAAATGTATACACACTAGAGCAGGTCTCTGTCCTAATAAATGTCTGGAAGCCAGTGACCACCACTTTGAGCACCTCTTGTAATTGTAGAAGCCAAAGGTAACCTATATTAACCTCAGGATGTCTCAGCAAATTTAGTATTAAAATATTTATGCAGGTTTTTCTTTTCTTGGTGTATCCCTTTTCTGGTGGACTCTGTATATGAAAGAATGTCCAGCATCACCCATGCACATTAAAACACTGAGATTCCATCTCCAGAAAGAATGGCTATCATCAAGAAATTAGTCAGTGACAAAGACTAGGGAGCTGTGGAGGGCAAAGGAACCCTTCTCCATGGTTGGTGGAAGTGCAGACTGGAACAACCACTGTGGAAATCAGTGTGGAGATTCCCCCAAAACTAAAACTATAAGTTCCATTCGGCCCAGCTCTTCTCCTTCTTGGTATCTTCCTGAAAGAGTTAAAATTCTCCTGCAGGGACAGATGCACACAGGTTTGTAGCAGCACAATCTGTAATCGCTAAATCTTGAAAATAGCGCAGATGCCCACCAATAGATGATTGGATAAAGAAAATGTGGTATTTATACGCAGTGGAGTGGAACTCTGCCATGAAGGATAACGTTGAGACGAACGCTTAGGTAAATGGATGCACCTCGGGTCTCTTCTGATCAGGGTTTCTCCATCACATCGTTGACTTCCCTTCTAGTCCTTGTCTCTGGGCGGTACGCCCCTCAGCCTTCCCACCCGCTGCTGCTGTCCCCTCCCTGGGTTCCTCGGGGTTTCCTCCTCCTGCTCTGGCTCCCCTGCCTCCGTGGTCCGGCCCTCGTGCCGTCTGGCCTTGGTCCCGTCCACCTGGCCTCCGCCAGCGGAGCCCCAGCTGGTATTGTCCTGTCTGCCTGCTGCTCCTCTGCCCCCACCCCACACCTGCCTCCAGATCAGTGGCATAGGACCCCTGACTGTCCCTTCCTTCAGGCCTTGTGGCGAGGCGGTGTGTGGGCTTGCAGCGGAGCCTTTGGGGTGTGCACCACGTCCGTCCCTGTCCTTGACAGCCTTTTGAGAGCACGTGGGGTCTTCTCTCTGCTTTCAGGGCTGCCACAGTAGGGAGAGGGACATGGGTCTCCTCCCAGGGGACCTAAAGCCTATGGGTCGACGCCTGTTCCTGGATGGGCCTTGGGCTCCTCTCAGGAGAGGTCTGTGTGGCCCGGGGCTGGGGGCTGTCCCAGGGACCTGGCGTCCCCGTGGGGTGGGCAGGGAGGTCATGGCTCAGCTGCATGCAAACCCCCTCCAAGGCCTGTGCTGCTCTGACCCTTTCTGCCCTGCTTCCTGCACTAGTAGGTGCCTAATAATTGCTCTCCAATGCAGAGAGCAGGGGGCGGGGGAGGGGCGTGCAGAGCCGGGAGGGCTCTCTGCGGGTGTGCTTGCCTGCCTTTCAGAGGGAAGGGTGTGTTTTCTCAGCAAAGACTCCACAGCAGCCCCGAGATCTCTGCCTGTGTTGAGGGCCTGCCCAGGCACAGGCAGCCGCTGAGGTCCTGCCGGGTGCAGATTTGATTTGGAGTTTTTTATATCCAAAGTAAAGCATCAGCCGGGCGTGGTGGCGCATGCCTGTAATCCCAGCACTTGGGAGGCTGAGGCAGGAGGATCGTTGCGAGTTCAAGACCAGCCTGGGCTACAAAGTGAGCTCAAGGCCAGCTTGAACTGCATAGCGAGACCCTGTCTCAAAAAGACAAAAACAAACAAACAAACTAAAAAACAGAGTAAAGGATCATTTGGGCTAAAATGTTCTCATTGGCGATTTGGCCTGGGGATTTTGATTATGTAGCATTCGGCAAGTCCCAAACCATAAGGGTGACCTGGCCGTGCCCATGTCCTCTACTGAGGCCTCTGGAGTCTTTGCCTTGGGGGCCCAAGAAGTCTGATCCCACCGTTGGTGACATCAGCATTGGCTTGTGAGACACAGCCTGGGTGTGGGGTGCAGCCACGGGGCGGGTGCCCCGCAAATCAGGGTTAGAGGTGATCGAACCCCAGGCCTTGATTCCTTGTTTTCCCGTTCTTATCCACCCTGAAACCAGGGCAGTTGCTCATGCCCAGTGCCGGGGCTCCAGGCGTCCGGCCTCTCCGGATTCTGGCCCCGGGACCCACGTGCCTGCTAAGTACCCTCGGGCAGGTTGCTTGAACCATCCCGAGCCTCACATTTGCCACCTGTAGAGGTGGGAGTCACTGGTGACCGGTTGTGCTCTAGGGTGGCTGGGGGAGCCCCGCACGAGGGCTTTGAGCCTCTGTGCCACACACTGGCTCGTGGGAATCAAGGTCTGGGTTCGAGGCTGCCCGACCCCTTACCGACCGGGTGGCCTTGAGTGGGTTTGTTCACCTGTGACTTGGTGGTCACACCAACCTGGCCTGGTTACCATGGGATTCAATGAGATTGCTCGTGTGAAAATACTTTGTTACCTTGCATGGGGTGCTCTTGGCCCTGCCTGACCGGGAGTCCTTCGCTGCTGTGGAGCGGGCCACAGCAGCTGGCCACCCATGGGTACCGGGTAAAGTCGCACTGCGCTCCCTGGAACTCTGCTGCGGCCTGCAGTGCTGGGCAGAGTGGGAGGCTTGGGGGCAGCACACAGCCGGTAGTAGGGAGACGCAGGGACGGGGCAGGATCCGCACTGAAACACTAACAGCCAGCAGGTTTGGAAGGGGAAGTAGGGGAGGAAATGAGGATCCAGCCAGGCACGGTGGTGCGTGCCTGTAGTCCCACTGCTCTGGGTGGCTGAGGCGGGAAGATCTCAGGTGGGAACCCAATCTGGGTCATTGAGTGACTGAGTGAGACCTTGTCTCGATAAAAATTTATGAAAGGGCTAGGCATGTAGCTAAGGGTGAAGGCCCTGGGGTCCATCCCCAGTACAGAGAGAAGGAGAGACAGAGGTGGGAGAATTGCTTAGAATTTTTAGAAGCCACCCAGAGGAGGATGCAGTGAAGATTTTGGAAAAACCGTGTAATAGTAGGTCATGGGCAGGGTGCCAGAGCTGGATGGTTTTCAGGAAGGCAGAGCATCCTAGGTGCCTAGTTAGGGCAGAGCTGGAGGCTGGGTGCTGCCCCCGCCCCCTGCCATGGCTACCCAGGTGGCCATGGTATCCCCCTGAGAGGGCCGCGCTGTCCTCTCCTCCCTCCTGGCCTGCTTGTCTGCATGAGAACTCATGTCAGCCCATGGGGTGGGGAGCAGGGGGGCTTCATCTGCAACTGTGTCTCTCTCAGCCTTCACAGCCGCGGGGACGCCGGCGCCCGTTCCCACAGGACAGGCTGGACCCAAAGATTCTGGACCAGGCCTCCCCTTGAGTAGAGAGGCGCCCTCTGACTGATGGACTGCGCTGACCCGGGGGTCAGCCACCTGCCCCCGAACGCTGAGACTTGGGGGAGCTGCAGAACCTCCACGGCCGCCTCTGTGGAGGGGGCTCGGACCTCTGCCTCGAGTCACAGGGCTGCCGCGAGGCCCTGCACGCAGTTCCGAAGCGCCAGGCTGGGCTCGACCCTCGTGCTCTCAATAAATGTTTCTTGTCTTAACCAAAGCAGTGATGATGTGCTACTAATCTGAGGAGGGGAGTGGGGTGCTCTGTCGGTGGGGGTTTCCTTTTGCAGTGTAATGGGGGCCGGGTAGGGAGTCAGCTCAGGACCAGGAAGCTACCCGTGCCCTACCGGATGGGCACTCGAGGTTTGCAACGAACTACCCTCTTCGGTGCCCTTCCCCACGCTCCAGAGGGAGCACAGGGAGGGAGTGGAGGGAGTCTGGCTTTGGAGAGGGGC